ATTATCTGATGGAAGCAGATGGAGAGATCCATAGCCAAGCACTGGGCCATGCTCTGGGAGTCCTCCTGAAGAAAGGGAAGAGGGATTGTATGAGCCAGGGGGGTCAAGGTCATGACAGAGGAACCCACAGGGACAGCTGACCTGAGCTTGTGGGAGCTCAAGGACCTATAGCAAGGGAGCTTGCATGGGACCCATCTTGGCCCTCAGCATGTGTGTGACAGCTGTGTGGCTTGGTCTGTTTTTAAGGCTCCTAGCAATTAGATCAGGAGTTGTCCCTGGCACTTAGCTGGCTTTTGGGAACCTGTTCCCCATGCTGATTTACCTGGTCCAGGATATATGCAGGGTGAGGGAGTGGGGGACAAGCTCATCCTTACCTCAACTCGATGTGCCATGCTTTGTTCAAGCCCATGAGAGGCCTGCCCCTCTCGGAATGGAGGAGGATGATGAATGGGTTGGGGAGAGGCTAAATGGGAGTAGGTGAGAGGGAATGGGAGGCTAAGTACTAGCGAGGGCTCAATGTGGGATGCATGGATCTCTCTGGGAAGGGGAAATAGAATAGATTTTGCAGATGGAATGGGGTGGGTGGGGATAGGAGCGGGAGGAATCAGGTTGGTGGGTGGCAGGGGAGTGTATTGGGAGAGATGGTTGGAACTGGGGGCTATCTGAGAAGGGGGATGTTGTGGAAAGCTAGTTCAGTGGAAATTCCAAGGTGGCTATAGTGAAGACTCCTATTAAAGTGTGATCTGGTGCCTGAAACAGCCATCTTCCGTAACTAGGAAAGGCTTCCAATGGTGGGACTGGGACACCAGCCCAAGCACAAAACCTTTCAATGTCCTGCCTGCAGGGGTAAAGGTGGCACAGAACTCATGGGAGTGGTCAACCAATGACTGGTCCAGCTTGAGGCTCATGCGTCGAGAAGAAGCCCATGCTCAACACTGCCTGGATGGCCAGGAACTGGAGGCTAGATAGCCCACAGAGCTATGATAGAACCAAACACATCCTACAAAACCCAAAATCAATGAAATGATTGCTAATGATACTTTGCTATACTCACAGATTGGTGCCTAGGCATTCATCAGGGAGGCTTCCATCCAGCAACTGATGGGAACAGATACAGAGACTCACAGGCAAAATTAGACATAGCTTGGAGAACCCCAGGGAAGAAGGGAAGGAAGGAATGAAGGAGCTAGAGGGTTAAAGGACATCATGAGAACATGGCGCACAGAATCAGCTAAGCAGGGCTTATAAGGGGCGTATAGAGACTGAAGTGGCAATCATGGAGCCTTCATGGGTCTGTACTAGATCCTCTTCATATATGTTATGGTTGTATAGCTTGGTGTCCTTGTGGGATTCCTAATAGTAGGAGAGGGGCTGTCTCTGACTCTTTTGTCTGCTTTTAGGACCCTTTTCTTCCTACTAGGTTGCCTTGTCCAGTTTTGATATGAGGGTTTGTGCCTAGTGGTATTGTAACTTGCTGTGTCTGGTTGGAATTTCTGGGAGGCCTGCTCTTTTCTGAAGGGAAACAGAGGAGGAGTGGATCTGGGGTAGGGGGGACATGGGGGCAAGAACTGGGAGTAGTGGATGGAGAGGAAACTATGGTCGAGATGCAATGTATGGATGATGATGATGATAATGATGATGATGATAATAATAATAACAATAATAATGAAAACTTAAATCTTGCAGTCTGAGCAGCACCCTCTTACTTTTGAACTGTGTTTAAGTATGCAGTAGGTTTTATCAAAAGACAAATGAAAAAACTAAGAGTGAATTGTAAAATCTGAAACATGATTTTAAAATCTTTTATAGTCAATATGGACTTAAAATCATAGATGTTAGAATAATAATGTTAAAGGTTAACACATAACTAATTACCATAAAGCAAGGAGAAACAAAAGCTGAGTTCAACTATGTAGCATAAATAGACTTAAGAATTATAGACATTTTAATGTTTTCCTCAATACTGCAATAAATGTACAAATGAAGAACTTATTAAGAATGTCATAATTCATAAACAAAGCATAACACCACATGCAATGGGTATTGCTGAATATGTTTTGGTGAAATACAAGTTAGGACAGGTATCTATAAAATATATAAAAGTCTAATAATATGATAACCTAATGATAATAACAAACAGCAAATAAACAATGTATAATAATAGTATGTATTGCTTTATTCTATACCTCTTGTTACTTGTAACTTGAAGTTACAGTGGTGACAAAGTAAAGTGTAATCTGAGTTATCGCTGAGCAGAGCAGGGTGGAAATGCTAGTCAGAATTCATTCCTGTAAAGACAATGCTTGCAAAACCTCACTTCCTTTTCACCGCCAATATCTTCACTGAAGGCTAAAATTAAGAACCTAACAGGCTTGTCAGCTCAGCCTTGTTTCAGGACTATCACACAAATTCCCACAGCTCATTTTAAAGCTAACACAGAAGACAGAGGCAGGCTTGGAATGAAACATGATAGAATATAACTTAAAAAAAAGCTTTATTATTTTGCTATCAACCATAAACTTCATTACGTTTTACAGAAGTATTATTCATGTCTCAAATTGCACTTCTGATGGTTGGTCCTGTGACTGTAAGTCAAGACACGGTGAATATCTTAGTGATGATTTGAGAAAGTATTAAGCAATTAGTCTTTCAATTAATTATTTAATTAACTTTATGTGTATGTATGTGTTCTAAAAGTTTTAAGTGTTATCTTAGTTGATCTCCTAAATTGCTCTTTTGAGCAGATGGTATAATTACTCTGACTTTATTTGTAGAGCTAGTAAGTAGGAGAACAATGATATAGTCTCCTTAAGTAACTATATAATGTACACTGGTTGTCTATCATCCATCCATCCATCAATCCATCATGTACTTTAATATTAGAATACTGCTACTCTCCTTTGATTTCTTGACATAAACATTTATTATAACATGATTTATTTATATATTTTTTAACTTAAGTCTGAGGCTTTTGATAGCTTTTACCATTGGAATACATAATATATAATTTAATACAAGAATGGACGAGTACTCTACATTGAGCAAAAACAGAAAACTGGGCTTTGGCATGCTTATTTTATTTCACAAGACAAGGTTAGTCTACAATGCTATAATTTGTGAGTGACTATAAAAGCTCTGGAGACAATTCAATAACTAGTGTATCTCTTGACCCTACAATATACATACATAAATACATACTGAACAATATGGAAGGCCATTTTCTAGAAGGGGCAAGTAGAATGGACCATAATATTAAAAGATGACATCTGAACTGTTGTCAAACTAATTGCAGACTTGTCACAGTTCTTCTGATATATTATTTTTATAATCATTTTTCAATATAGACATAAGCATTGAAACAATACAAAGAAATGAGTTGAAGACACTTCAGAATATGTTATTTTGAAATGTTACCTTTGTTGTTACATGTTTAAAAATTAAATATATGGGATGGGGAGATGGCTCAGGAGTTAAGAACACTGGCCACTCTTCCAGAGGTCCTGAGTTCAATTCCCAGCAACCACATGGTGGCTCACAACCATCTGTAATGAGATCTGGTTCCTTCTTATGGCATGCAGGTATACATGCAGAACACTCATACATAACTATAAATAAATTTTAAAAACAAATGTACAAGAATAAATTTAAATAAAGAGGCAAAAGATCTCTTTAGTAAAAATTGAAACATCAAAGACAGAAAATGAAGAGGATGTCACTGGAAAGCTATATCACATTCATATACTGGGAGAAACAACCATAAAATGCCCATATTACCCAAAGTGAGCTAAATATTTAACACCATAACTCTCAGGATGCCCATGACTTACTTTATCAAACTATGAAAAACTTTCTAAAATTCATATGGAACCACAAAGCAATTGCACATAAAAAGGACATAGCATGAGGCATTACACTGCTTGAATTCAAAATATACTAAGTTAAATTAATTAAAGCAGTTTAGTACTGGCCTATAAAAGACATAAAAGGGAAGGTGAGATGACTCAGCAGGTAAAGGTGCCACCAACTCTGATGGCCTGAGTTCCTGGACTAGACATGGTGGAAGGAGAGAAGCAACTTCTGGCAACTGTTCTCTAAAAAGACACCTGATGCCAATCTGCATGCAAATGCAGCTGATTAGAGCTTGTGACTTTTCTAGTAGGCACTTGGACCTTCTAGTTCTATTAAAGGGAATGACTTTTGAATGAAGAACTGTTAGATCCATTTGTCTGAAGGCTCTGCTCCCTGAAATGTGGAGAAAGCCTTAAAGGGATTTTGCTGGGAAAAGAGCTAAAATCACCTTTCTGGAGAGGAAACACAGTATCTTTAAAGAAAAGCCCGAGAGGTCAAGAGGCCTCCAGAGGAGGAGGGACCACCTTAAAAGCAAGTTCCTGCCAAAGAGCTGAATGGCTGGACACCTGCCTAACTGAGGGATTGTGGGAAGACAGAAATGGCCACTTAGTCCTGTTGAGTGGTCTGCACTGTAGTAGGACACAGAATGGAAACCTGAAGGTTGCCTTGAGGCAAATGCATTAACCTCCCCAGAGGGGATGAAGTGCAGAGGAAGCTGGGTACAGCTCAGCGTAAAGAAACTGGCCTGAGAAGCCAGCAAAATGAATCTCAATGGAGAGTGCCGTCCACCAGGCACTCTGAGAATGACTCTGACATCAGACCAATTCTTTCTCTAGTATTGCTCAGAGGGCAGATCTGATATACAGGAGGAAGAAAAAAGATTAAAAAAATCAATGAAAGGCAAAACAAAAAGTCAACGTTTCCAAATTTCTTGCATTGTGTTTGCTTGGGCTGTAAGGCATTAATTAAGCATTAGCTAAACACAGTCAGTCATCTAACAGTATAGGCTAGCCCACTCAGAGGAAGGTCTTGCATTCCAAGGAAAAGACTAAGTTGACTTTAAAGTGACAACCATCAGAAAACGTCCTACTTCACAGTCACATTGAAGGGTTGTCTTATGCTAGGAAAAAAAAGGAAACAGTTTTACTCACCTCTCTTCCCTGTGGGATTCCAAGAATTTGGAGCATAAGCAGAACAGAAAAATGCCATGGTGTTACACAGTATTTATAAAGAAGTCACCAGAATAGTTCCTGTTTCAATGCAGCCCAGAGCAAGGTGATGCTTATGAGCGGTGTTTCAGTGAAGTCAATTGTATGTTATGAATTAAAGGACAAACAGCATCTACATTTTAATTGTGCTTGACCCATTATACTTCAACAAGCATTTTTAGTGACCACAATGACTATATTAAAAACATTAAATTTTAAGTTCTGTAAGATGTAAGGGGATACTAGCTGTATTAGCTAGAACAATACTGAAATAGACTATTTGTTCTGATTAAGAACAATTTGGAAATGCCTTTGACTCTGATGATAATCTCTTTCAGAACAAGACAAAGACAACGAAACATACCTATATTTTATCATATGATCATTTTCTTTGTAGCATGGTGGTAATGCTAGCCCAGAAAACATCCTCCTGGGAATTCATTTCAAATTATTGAAGCAGCTGTTTCTTCAGTTTAAAATAAAATATCCATAACAAGTTCACACATGACAGATGCAAGCTAAAAACTAGATTCCACAGTGTGAGTTAAAAGCAGATGTTTTGAATGATCATATTTATAAGCAGATACAATAAATCTTAGTTGCCTGTAGTAAGACTCCACGAATACTCTTTTCCAAGAATTTGCTTAAAATATAGACCCTGTAGTTTCTCGTATTTTTTGAAAACTAGATTCCATTAAACATAAGTATTCTATAAATTCATATGTATTTGGTCTGTTTTCTTTTGGCTCATTACATCAGCTTCCTCAAAAATAATAACACTTTCAGGACACCAAAGTTTATTGTTTTTACTTAATTCTGCATATTTCTTCCATTTAATTCAAAGCCTGGAAAGTGTTTTTGTAGATAAATTCACAACTATAGGAAAGAGAAGTTTAAGTCTTAGAATAAGCAGGGTGGTGTGAGAACACTTCAGATCTGTAGGAATGGTAATATGTAATGAGAGCTTTAAAAACATTGGTTGGTAATGTGGCTCTAGGGCAGAGTGCTGAATAACACATTGGAAAGCCCAGGTTCCTTCCAAGCACGGCAGACAACAACAGCAGCAAAAACAAAGCAACCAAAGACTTAGTTAAAACACATAGAAAGTTTGATGCGAGAGAGAAGACTACAGCCAGCAGTTACACAATTATGAATGTTTTCGGTTGCAAAACTTATCGCAAATTTCCCATTTAATGCTTACTAGACCACATTTTCAAGCAAAAATGATCACATCATGGGGACAAGAAAGCAATTGGCTTGGCATCCCAAGATGGGTGTGTTCCAGCTCTGCCAATTATTGTTTATGTGTGTTGAGGAAAGATCTCCCCCAAGATTTCCCATGTCCTTATCATGTGATTGTTGTCAAAAACAGATACCAAACCAAACCACACACACACACACACACTCACACACACACACACACACACACACACACACACACACACACACTATAACACACAGGAGTCACATTCCCGGGAAATGTGTACATTTGACCAGCTGCACACTGAGCCTCTGGTCAGGCTACCTTTTCAGTGCTGCCCCCACTATGGCAAAGCCTTCGTTTATGCTCTGGCTACAAGTCATCACCTCAGCATGATGCTCCTCGTTCTGCTGTAGGACTTCTATGCAGAGCTCTGCGAGATGAAGAACCTCTTCCAGCTTCCTGGCAGGAGTTGCCTGGTTCATGGTCTCTGTATGAAAAAAAAATCATAATGTTACCTTGAAAATTCAAAGCCAGACACGTCCTAAGATGTAATGATGATTGGGGTATTGAAACAGCATAAGGAAGCACACTTTGGAGAGATAAGGGATGCAAGGAACACAATTGAGTACATTGTCTTTAAAAAGCCGGTTCACCAGATTGCAGAAAATATTTCACCCACAAAGCAATCACAGATCTGCAAGTGCTTTGCCATTTAGTATACAAGAACTAACAGGTGCAACAGCACATTAGATGCTCAACTTCTGCAACAAACAAGTTATAATTCTGCTCAAGGTCAGAAACACAAAGAGAGCAGATAGCACAGTCTTTTCCTTCTGTCTGCATTGTATTCTGAATACAATGCAGTTCTCACCAGATGAGTCATTCCTGGCATTAGCAAACCCCAGGTTTTTTGTTGCTATTTGAATTCTCAGTTCATGTTGGTCTTAATCCCAAGAAGTACAAAGTCACCTAAAACAACTCTGACAGCCCACAATTAACTGATTTCCTCCTCTGTGTGCCTGCTGCCATCCCAGCCCACTTCCAACTGTGGGGGTAGCAGGTTAAGGAAGGGCAGAAGCCTTCTTTGAATCTGCAGGTTCCTTTCCGTGTTAAGCTAAATTGGTGTAAAGGGACAGAACACAATAAGGTTAAGTGCAGATACCGGAAATTCAGTAAAAGAGAAGACAAAATATAGCTTATTTCAAAGACACAACACACTGGCAGAAAGTAGAGGTGCCCTACATGACAAAACTGCCTCAAAACCACATGAAAACAGTTTTCACTAGGAACATTTAAGACAAGCCTGCCTCAGTCCACTTTGTATATATGACTACATAAAGAAAAGAGGCTTATTTTGTTCAGTTTGGGCAGCCGAAAGTCCTCATTTGGGTGGCTCCATCTGTTTGGTCTCTTAGCATATTACAACACAGTAGGGAACTGGAAAGGAAGACGGCCATAAGCACAAAGGACCATGCATGTGGGATCATTGTTGTGTGACAACCCACTCTTTGGAGAGCAAACTCTTACATGTCATGCCTGACGGGACAGTATTAACCCTGCTAAGAGTCTTATGGTCCAGTCACTTCTTTCTTGGTGTCACACCTTAAAAGTTACCCAGTACTCTGGAAATCAAGGTCCTTATTCATGAGTTTATGGGGAATGTACTCTAACTACCTCAAAGCACATCACAGCAACTCTGCCTGACATTCATGGATCTCTCTGTCCCACTGAGAAGCAAAGCCTGGTGACACATGTCTGGTGGAAGGGAGGCTGTAAGGAAGGTAAGTCAAGTTTTCAGAAGAATGAAGTGTCTCCCCTCCTCCCACTTCAGTATCTGCTATGTTACCCAGAAACAAATCTTGGCTTTGAACTTCTCCCCAAATCTCAGCTTTAAAGTCAGAAGAGATTCTTAAGGTTTTCTTGTCTTAGTTCATTCTCAAAGGGCAGATAGCAGTGCAATGTGACATGGCTTCTGGTTGGTGCTTGCTCATTAAACTTTAATATGCTTGTAAGTCAGACATGGCATGGTGCACACAGGGTTCACACCCTAAACTCTCCTATGATGGAGGGGCATTGCTTATCTCTGACAGTGATCAAGAGCACAGGGATTCTTTAGGAACATCAGTCTGTCAACACAAAGATGTTCTCATCTAAGGGAAGTAAAGGGAATAAAGTAAGCATTTCAAGATGGCAATTGCAATGAATGTTTTTGTTTGCATTCTGAGATGGGCTCCTGTTAATAGCCCAGAATGGACTGGAATGCTCATGTAGCCTAGTTTGGCCTCGAACTCCAAATCTTAAGCTTTACTGTCTCATGTGCTGGAATTATAGAAACAAGCCACCATGTTTTGTTTCCAAAGGAATGTTCCTTTCATTGACTTTCTGGTATTTTTTCTTTTCTTTGTCTCTCCTTTTTAAGCCAACATGTCCTGATTGCAAACAATTCAACACCCCAAATCACAACATAAAGAACGTTTAGATAACAACTATCAATGCATCCACATGTTTCAAGATTACTTCAACATTCTTTAACAAAGACAAAGTCAAGGTAACTCATGATTCAGCATGACAGTCTATTCTATGTAGAGGCATTTGAAGCTGTTTAATGAAGAAAACAAGAGCCTTAAAAGGTTTGGAAGCTAACATATATGTGTTAAAGGAGATAGGAAGAGAGACTTAGGGAGAAAGCATGTATAAGAAGAGGGGTTTCCAGAGAGGAGAACTGGAGGACAGAGACATTTTGTGTGAGAGGAGGGTTGGGATATTTACAAATGATGATATTTATAAATGACAAGTCATCCACCACCAAGCAACTGTTTCCCAGGTATCATGATGTCAACTTTCCTAACACTTTTAAGACAAGATTTTTGTTCGTTTGTTTTAATGTATATAATTCACAGTGTGAAAGAGATGATATGCAACAGCTAAAAGGCGATGAAGGAAAGACTTGGACCTTGTGTGCTCTTACCTGGCTACAGAATGTGCTAGAGAATTATGCTTTACATTGTGGGCTTTAAGTAAGACAGGATGACTACTGACAGATGGTACGGTACAAGTATGTTATAGCATATCAGAAAAGACTGAATTTTAGGAAATTGTATTTAGTGGTTTTATGTAACAGAGTTCTGAGAAGCCTGTGTTGTAGGATGGTGGACTCTGTGAAGATGGTATGGAATGATAAGGGAAGACACAAGAGATGCTTTCACACAGTAATCACTATGTCTACAAGATGCTAAGAATTACTGGATCAGATAGTCTTTAAGCATCTTTATAATTCAGAGAATCTCTGTTGACTAAAACTTGTGGGCTTTAAGCTGGAAGGTAGTGGCATATGCCTTCCATCCCAATACTTGGGAGGCAGAGGCCAGTGAATCTCTGAGTTTGAGATCTGCCTGGTCTACAGACTGAGTTCCAGGAAACTTTTGTATTTTATGTTTTGAAATGTACGATTTTAACTTATACAAAATGCAATTTTTCAAAAGGTTGAAAATAGTGCAAAATTCAATCACAGACAAGTTTAGGATATTGATTATTGTACCCTCAAAGCCACCCTTTAAACTAGGGAATCGGATCTTCTGTTGTTGGGTTCAGAGAGGTTAAAGGACTTTCCAAAGTCATATAGCTATTGAATGTGATAGAATTAAATCTTACCAAGTAATCATTCCTGGACACAAAGGTAACACTAAATGGACTAAATATACTAAATATACACACACATGTTTACATAATAAGAGGTATCAAAGAAAATAATGTCATGCATTTGGGATCTGGGGAGGACATGAAAATAGATCAGGGAGAGTAGAAGCAATGCAGATGCAGGACTCATGCATCAAGATGAAGAGAGACAGAGACATAGAGACAGAGAAAAAGACAGAGAGAGACAGAAAGAGACAGAGAAAAAGAGAGACAGAGAATATGAATACACTTCACTTTTTGGATGGCCTTGGGGGTTCCTGCCTTTAATTCCATTGTTTGGAAGGGAGAGGCAATCTGCTTTCTTTAAATTCCAGGGCAACCAGGACTAGACATTAAGATTGTGTTTCGACTATCTACCAACCAACCAACCAATGAACAACAACAAAGAAAATCTTCTGAATAATAATTTGACTTCTTTTTCATTACTAATTCTCTGAGTAGGAATCACATGCACAAATACACAGTCTTAGCCACCAGTATGCAATAATGGAAAAAAAATGAGAGACAACTTATTTTACTTGTGTGTGAATGTGTTAAATCAGCTTTTACATTTGATATTGTCCCAAACAAAAGTTGAAAGCATCCTTTGTCCTAGGTAAAACTCAAAAACCGTTTAAACATTTTATTCTTCCCAGATAAAGTTTGCTGAGAGGAAGAAAACTTTGTCCTTGAACATAATAGCCACTCTTAATACTTTAAATAAATAGCATTTTTTATCAAGCACAATATGTATACACCCTTGGTTTTCACCCATTTTGACTACAGCCAAGAAGTTAAATGCACTCCACAGTTGGAACTCTGTTAGATAACAAGGTTATCAACAGCTCCATTAAAAATCTACACTGAATATTTGAGACTAGAATTCCTCTTTAAGATGCTTTCTACCACTCTCTTTGTAAAATTTCTCCCGCATTACAAATGTTGATATTCTTCAAGCTTAACTACAAGTTGCCAGTTGTTGTAATACATTTCAGATAGTGACATTTAAAACAAATATGCCCAAAGCAGAGAGGTTCCTTCATGAATTTCAATGCATTCCTCTTGGCTGTAATCATTCTTCATTCTGGAACATTTGTCATTTTCTATGATAGCACTCCTTGGCTCCCTAAAGCATATTCTTTTAATTATTCCTCTGTACATTTAAGAAGAGATCCCACTGGGGAAAAGTAAGGAGAGGGGAAGCTGTGAGCAGACAGACTGACTGCTTTGCTGTGGTGTGCTTTAATTAGGATTCAAGACTTTAAAGAGCATGTGAACTCCTAGGATGTGCTCCCTGGCTATTTCCCTTGCTGCCATTTCTTTTCAGAATCCCAAGTGGTGGATGAGAAATGATGTTCATGGTGAAGGTTGCAGAGATACCTGGGACAAAGACAAGTCAGATCACTTCTCTTTTCCCATATCCCATATGTAGAAATTTACAATGTTTTTGATGTAAACTTTGATTTTAAAATATTTACTTGACATAATAATATCCCAGGTAAACTTTATGATTTGACCTCATCACAATTTGATGAGTTTTGTAAGTATCTTGAACACACATACTTGAACACACTATGAGCCATTTGCCTAACACTATTAACTCCTTAGGCCTTTTCTGTTGGCTCAGGACATTTCTCCTGGGCAATGATACAGTTGGAAAGTAGAAGTTGTTATTTGTTTTCTGGCCTCTTCTCTGAACAGCCCAACCTGTGGTGAGTGGCCTAGTGCCAGAGCCTAGGGCAATCAGGCTCGGGGGACTCTTAAAATGGGCCAGTACTCATGGGCCTTCTAACCTCCAGAGAGAAGGAAGGT